TCAGTGGAAAACATCCTCAGGTGAGGATTAAACACAAAAACAAAAAGCCAGCATCGAGTTGACGGCATTCTTGCCAAAGGCGGTTGACCCGAACCACGGTTGACCCGAACCACACGAGTGGCCGCTGGGAACTGCCATGGCCTCGGGCGCTGCTGGCATAACGGGCAGCATTTGCGAGTGGACTATGTATTCGATGGGATCAGTATCAGGTTTTCTAAATGTGATCGTTGTGATGAAGTCATATGATCAGGAAATATTCCTGTTCTTGAAAGATATGGACCAAAACATTTAGGAGTGGAGGGGCATCACTCTCAAATGGTTCAACAAAAATCATTACCAGCAAACATTTCTATGCACCTACGTCATGTGGAGAGAAAAGGGAGCGAAGCGAAGGTGAGTAAATGTAACTGGCGAATCTAGGTGAAGAAATACATACAAGCATTTTCTTACAATTGCTCTGGAACTCCGAAATTTTTTCAAACTAAACATTTAAAAATTAGCCGAAACCGGTTTGGCTCGGTGGATAGAGCGTCGGCCTGAGGACTGAAGGGTCGCAGGTTCAATTCCAGTCAAGGGCATGTACCTTGGTTGCGGGCACATCCCCAGCAGGAGATGTGCAGGAGGCAGCTGGTCGATGTTTCTCTCTCATCAATGTTTCTCTCTATCTCTCTCCCTTCCTCTCTGTAAAAAATCAATAAAATATATTTTTAAAAAAAAACATTTAAAAATTAAAAACAAGAGTGGTTTCCGTCAGCCTACCCAGGCCAGCCCTGCAGGACACTGCAAACGGTTTCCTCAGACCGAGCCCATGGGCCCCCCCCCCACCCCGCACCCAGCGCTGCCTGAGCCCATGCCCCGCACCCTGCACCCAGCGCCGCCCGAGCCCCCCCGCCGATTCGCACCCATGCGCTCCCCCTCGCCCTTACATCCCCGATCAGTATCAAGGATGATGTTTAGCTCAAGTGAATCAAGCGTTTTGAAGTAAATTAGATAAAAGTTTAAGTAAGGGGTGAATTTAGGCATTTATTGTAGGGTCCTTTTTCCCATTTTTCTGTGGAATGAGAATTCCTCTTTTTGGTTATTAAAT